CTTGTTCTTTCAGTCATGGTCAAGATGTCATGACTGTAGGTGAGGGTATGAAGGTAGACTGACCAGTAAATCGAGAGATTTCCTTTTTTGCTTAGCTCTTTACCACAACAGTTACATAAAGGTTATGAACAGGACCAGGCAGCCCTGTCGGAGCCCAACATGCACTGGGAACAAGTCTGTCTTAATTCTGGCAACTGCTGTGTTTTTACAGAGACCAGATGGCCCCTAGTAAAGGGCCCCAACTCCATACTCCTGAAGCATGCACCACATGGCACCATGAGGGACATGGTTGAATGCCTTCTCCAGGTGGACAAAACACATGTTGACTGGTTGGGTAAACTCCCAAGCACCCTCGAAAACGCTGCAGAGAATGTAGAGCTGGTTCACTGTTCCACGGGCAGGACAAAAAAAACACACTGCTCTTCCTTAGCTTAGATTTGACAATCAACTGGACTCTCCTCTCCAGGACACTGGCATAGGCCTTCCCAGGGAGGCTGAGAAGTGTGATCCCTCTATAATTAAAACACACCCTCTGGTCCCCCCTTTTATGCAGGGGAACCACCAGCCTGGTCTGCCAATCCAGGAGCACTGTCTCAGACCTCAATGGGATGTTGAAGAGGCGTGTCAGCTACAACAGCCTGACAACATCCAGAGCTCTAAGGTACTCAGGGTGGATTGCATCCACCCCTGATGATTTGCCATCATGGAGCTTTTTGACCACTTCAGCGACTTCAGCCTCGGGGATGAACAAATCCAGCCCACGCAGCCATCTCTTCTTCCATCACGGAAGGCATGTCACTGGATTATTTAGAAAGTGTTTCTTCCACCATCCACAATGTCCTCTTTTAAGGTCCACTCTCACTGAAAACAGCGTTAGCAAAGCACTGATATCCTCTCTGGAGACACTAGATGTTTTGCCAGAATTGCTTTCAGGCCAACTGATAATCTTTCTCCATGGCCTCCCAAAACTCCTCCCAGGCCAGTGTTTTTGCCACGGGGCATTGGGAAGCTTGGCCTCACGTCACCTGCTTGCTACATCAGGAGTCCCACAAGCCAAACAGGCTCGGTAAGACTCCTTCTTTAGCTTGACGCCACCCCTTACTACCGGTGTCCACCACTGGGTTCAGTGATTGCCGCCACAACAAGCACCTCAGACCTAATGGCCACAGCTCAGGGCGGCCGCATCGCCAATGGAAGCAGAGAACATGGTTAACTTAGTCTCCACGTTTCCAGCTTACCCTGGAATCTGATATATATAAATTAATCATTATCATTATTGTTATTATTATCATATTAATTTTATCATTATCTGTTTTTTGATATTTATAGCTCTTCTTATTAAGTTAGAAAATTACAAAACGCAAATAGATAAGCATCTTAATGCAGAAATATTATACTATGTATCAATTACCATCATATGATGTAATAATAGTAAGACATAACAGGTCACTGCTTATGAGGCTGGGGGTTCACAGAGAGTTACATCCAGGAATAGTAATTGAAAGTTGAAAGAAAGGAAAAATGTGACAGAAAATGGTGCAAAAATAACAGAGATAACCACAGCCTGAGGAAAATAGTGAACCAAAGTTTGATACTTTGAGAAAAAAAAAAAAACTTTAGCTCTTCAGTTATAGTCTTATTTATGGTGACATACCAATAAACACCAAGATAATGCAATGTGATGTCCAAAATACCTTTTGCTGTTAAATGGTAACTGCAGCGGTACCATGAGCTCTTCAAGATGCATAATACAAAAAAGTTTTTAGGGTTGTTAGTGCTACACACCTTAGCTAGGACAGGCAGGAGTACATCAAAGCTGGGACAGCCTTAAATGTCTTACATTTGAATGATAAGAATAGAGGTGATGATGTTTTTTTTCTTAGTGATTTCTGTGGTCATTTTTTGTTGCAGCTGTGTTTGTGTTAAAGTGCTCTAGAAAAAAAATAAGAGTAGTAGTAGGATTACGAGACTGTATACAGAAGCTTACAGAAACTCAGATAAGCCTCTGTAGATAACATGTAATAGTTGTTCAATGGAGGCACCTACCTGTCTGTAGTAAAAGTTGGGGAGTTACCCTTTACTGGACTTTTATCAGTGCAGACGCTCTGTAATCAAGTGATGTATTTGCATCTTTTTTATGTGATACATATAAAAACCAATGACTTAATCCGTAAACCAGACTGAACACAGACAGATACCTTCATAGTTCAGTTTCCCTACACTTTTTAAATTATTTTGAAACGATACAGTACTCCATTAAATGTTTACATTTAATGATAATGTCCCTGTTAATTTGCATTTCATTGCTACATGACTTGAAAAGTAAAGCAACAACGCAGCACTAAAGCTTTGGTTTAATTCAGCAAATAATCAGTTATTACTTCACTTTGAGGCAACTACAAAGATAATACTTATCATATCTTTACCAGTACAGCTTAAGCCAAAGGAAGCTGAGAAACACCCATATTTATTTTTAAATGTAGTAATTTCTCTGTAGCATCTCTAAAAAAATTATTGATATAATTTAAAAAACATAATGTAGCAACTTCAGGCTTCCTGGATGGGAAGCAAAACGTCTTCAAACTTGGAAAACAAAGTCCAGTGGTTTGTTTAACTTTTTTGGAATGACTATGACTGAGAATCTTCACCGGCATAAATAAAAAGTTCCCATATTTTACTACATTTTAAAATAAAAAAATATTAACAATGAGGCACCAGAGCATGTTTTTACTGTTTGTGCAGGAAAACTCATTCAAAAATGTCCTTATTCAGGCCTCCTCTGGATTTCCACGCCCCGTCCACCCGAAGGCCGCACCCTCACAACCCGTAACCATGACAATAAGTCAGAGTACATAAAGATACTGGCTAGGAGCAGAGAATAATACACAAGATAAAGGCTGTAGCTTAATCAATGCGCTGCTTCCCTGATTCCCCTTATTACATCATAAGGGGAATGCTTTTTAGACAGAGCATTTTGAGCTCCCATTAGCTAAGATAGAGTGGAAAAGGGATTTTTCATTTGTGAATCTCATAAACAGGCTTTAGGACACATATGACTCTTACAAAATGTTTGGAAAGTAAATTTAGCATAATATAACGCATAAAAAGGTTAATCAGACATGAGCAGCTGACAGAGTAAAGCTTGTTGCAATAACAATCTCTTTCTATGCTGCATCTCTTAAATTTGACAGTTTGATCCGTATATTAGCTTAACTCAGTGATTACCTATTTTGCTCAACAGATGTACAAACTGCAAGAAGTACTTAATAACACTACTTTGCTTTTCTATTATGGAACTTAACTAGTTAGAAGCAAAGAGAATCGTTTAAAAATTTTTAAAAATTAACGATAAAACTGATCAAACTTTAGCTATAAAAGATGAAGAAGTTCTAACACACATTTAGTTCCATCAGACATGTAATGTGCGTGTATGTTTGCAGCCCTTCCCTTTGGTTTACCACCATCCAATTCACCAAATCTTTCCCTCTAATTTTCCCTTTTTTTTTCCAGTGGCTGCTTTCCAAAAGAGAGGGAAAAAAAGAGGGAAAAAATTCCCAGTCAGGATCGAGATTGGTTGTCTGTGATGAATTGATTGGATAATTTCAACCATACGGGAGCATTCAAACGTCATTAAAGCAACAACATGGCGTTTGTCAAAGGTTAGTCTGCCTGATGCGTGCCAAATACAGAGAACAAGGATGGCTTTGTGTTTGTTTTGCTGTGTTAAGCGTTTAGTCAGGTTTGTTCATTAATCCATGAGTGTAAAATTGTGTATGTTTTTGTATCTATTCTTTTTTTTTTGATAGACTATAGTTAAATTACAGGAGAATGTTATAAAACTCACTGTGATAATCTACTAAAAATTGGTCAAATGACAACAAAACCTCAATTGCAGCATTGAGGTTTTGTTGTCATTTTGTTGTCTTAATCAACAAAAGGAACAAGGTTGGTTTCACTCACATTTACTGACAATGTAGAAGGAAAAAAAAAAACCTGAGTTGGGGATTTATGGACCCCAAGTGGCGATAAATTAGATTGCAACAAAAGAGCTTCTGATTTCTAAAACCCATTTGCATAAAGTTACAGTTTTATATAACAAAAATAACTTTGATGCTCTTCTGTCCTTTATTATTACTGGATCTACTACATTACACTTATATATTTTGAGCTTAAAATTTATCCTCCTAGTTAAATATCACAATATTACAAACATACACTTCCCTTTTGAGTACTTGCTCTGTCTAAACACATGTTCCTGGAGTTCACCACCTTAAATCATCTAATTCAAACATTGCTTCCAGGGATTTTACATGTGACAATCCCCGGAAGAGAACAAAGAGGGCTCGGTCTGTATGTATTGTCTTTAATAAATGGGAGACAGTAAGCTTAATGTTTTCTGATAGATTATCTGTTGAGAACATCAATTGAAACTCAGCATACCAAATGTTTCTTACAGAATGTCTTACATGGCATCATGTCTTTCACAATACCAGCATCGGGTTGCAGTTTGAAGACAGGTAACAGGTCCATTGCTTTCACTTTCTCTGCCTGCGTTGAGATGATTATCAGTTGTGTAACCAGCTATCAGTTGTGTAACCAGTAGGCTTTCATGGGAGATGCCTACATAGAGCAGTTCAGTGAAGGCATGGTTGACTGATAAGGAGCTGTCACCAGGTAAACTTGATGAGGAAGATAAAACTACGTTGGCGATTTCATGTAAGAACTGATTTTCTTAGATGAATCCAACATGTTTCACATTTAGGGTTAAAACTTCCCTTTAAACATTAGCCCAAAGACCCAACAGAAAATTGGAAGAGCTAGTATAAACTCAGTCATAGTCAAAGAACCAATAAGGAGCCACAGCTACCTTCTTTTATAATACGCTCATAGGTATTGAGTAAATCCTGACAATGTTGCACTGGGTTCCCAAACTGCAGCCCAACAATTCAAGGTCTCAGTGATCTTGAGCAGAAGCCATTAGAGGTATCAGGTCAACTTACATAGATTTGCCTCTGCTGGTAACGTTGGAAGAGGTTGTGCATGATGGCGCCATCATGAAGGTCCTCAAGCGTCGCCATGTCTTCCACCCCTCTGACACTGCTGTGGTGCATGGGCTGCACCTTCTGTCTGGTGAGGGCATTCTGTTTGTAAGTGTACACCTGGGTCAGAACAGACAGAACAGAGGTGAGATTCAGAGACAGAAGTGCTAAAAGGAACTTAAGGTTTAGTAAATGTTTTTTTTTTTTAACTTAAATGTCAAAATGAAAACACCTTAAACATTTCTCATTTTTTCTGTATTCTGGGAACAAAGCATCCTTCAAATATAAAATTGGATCTCATCAAACCTTAACCTTCTATGCTTGAACTTCCATAGTGTAAATATGGATTTTAGACAATTCAGTGACACATATCTCAATGGATAAGTTAAATAATGTAAACTATGCACTTGAAAACAATTTCTATTTCAATAGTTAAGAGGAAAAGTGGTCTACTTGTGTGCAAGAGTGGCTCTTTGTCTTTGGTGGGAGCAGGCCACTCTTTTACTGGTTAAAATTAGAAAAAGGAACTAAGTTGGACATAAAATGGTAATGCAAAGGTGTTAAATGGCAAAGGCAAAGAATAACCTAGAGTGTTTAAGAGGACCCCTAAATGCAAAGGACAGGATTAGGATTACTTGATGGAGTTTACATTATGTGTTTGCAGGTTGTCAGCCTACATACACAGCTACAATCAATGGAAATGTAATGTTGTTTAATGGTTCTATAAAGTATCCGCTGTGTCTGATAACCTTAGCAGAACCATTTAGATAGCCTGTCATCTGTGGGATGCAGAACACAGTCTGAACAGAAACATTAAGATAATATTAAAGTTTTAAGGCCACATTGGCCAGACAGCTTGCGAAGTGTACCTAAATAACATTACTGGTGATATAAATCTGCTATCAGAACTTAAAGCCAATATCCACTTTTCATGTATTTAAACCCAAGACAGATTAGTTTTTAGTGTTTGGAAACATTTTTGTTTGCATGTTTTTTTTTCTGGTTGTCAGCAGCTAAGGAAAAACACAAAAGAAAGTCACAAAGAGAAGCTAAAGCACCGTCCTCCTTCCATTGGTTACAGCGATTCTCTTTGCATCTCTTGTTTCATGTCTCCTTCAACAGAGGTGACATCTGGTGGGCAGCGTAGATAAATTTGATCCTGAGCTTGTCAGGAGCATGAGCCTAAGGTGAACGCTGCCAGAAAGAGGCTGCTACCTATTTAGGTTAAGAAAAAAGTAAGCCTTTACAAGTCTAGAGAAAGCATTTGTCCACACAGAAGAAATAATTCACACGGAAATAAGTTATTTTATTTTCAAAACTATATGGTTCTGATAATGACAGTCATTTACTTTTACTTTTCTTTTACTTTTCTCCCTTGTATTTCAAATCAATAATTACAAAAAATGGATATAGGTTTATGACAGATATGGCTTCTTCAGCTCTTCAGTTTGAAACTAGGTGTTGACTTGATCAAATCATTTTTTTAGCTGCAGCAGTCCTGGAAATCAGGCGACTGGAAGCCCCAAACTTTGAGAGAAATCTCGTTCTCTGTTTTTGAGACGAGAAGGACACTTTCAGCAGAGAACAGGAAGGTCTAACAGACATGAGGGATGACTTTAAAAATAATTGAATTTGAAAATCTCCACTTTAAGATCAGGATCCATGTTTTAGAGTTTCTATACTCCAGTTAAGGATTAATCAATTACTAAATCAGTAAGTGATTATTTCAATATTCGATTATCACGATTGATCCCATTAATTGCTTCAGCTGTACTCAAAATGTAATTAAATAATACAAATTAAAGTATACATGTTGTTACTTATTTTTTTAAGGAGATTTGTACCAGATAAAACTGGGAAATAAAAATAAAACTGGAAATAAAAAATTTAAACCAATAAATTTCCCATAGTATTGTCGTTTTTACATCTTTAACAAGAATTAACCAGGACTTGTTTTATTTCTAACTGAAGGTTTGGACACACTGAGGGGATGGTCAGATTTATTGTGATAAAGGCTGGTTTAAGACGAATTGCTAATAAATCCAATGCAACATACATCTTCTGGAATAAAAGCAGTAGAGTTAACCAGCACAAAGTGAACTGGGAGTCTGTAGTCGCTGTAAGACCAGCTGTGGTTGACCAGTTCTCAGGGAATCCTCTGAAAACAAGCCGGTCTCTGTCTGAGGAGTCAATCGCATCTGACCCCAATCACACCCCCTCCCCTCATTGCACATTAACAGGAGAAATGCCCTCCAGCTTCCTGTCAACCTTCATTTCTCACATTCCTCCTGCAGTGACGCTTTAGTGAGAAACAGACCGTCACTGAAGCATTTCTCCAGAAGCTAAATGTGGGGATCACAAGCCGTCATCCCGTCATGTCTGACAGCGGTTTCATACAGAAAACCAGCAATGCATGACAAAAACAACTAAACTAACTGAAAGGATGGATAATGCCTTCCTGGGTCTAATCAGGTTGGAACTCCTTTTAAGTGAGCACAATGTTTACATTCACTCCAAGGAGACGCTGTTACAACAACTTTACAGACTTGTTATACCTGTTTAGTGTCCTTGCACACAGCAAATGTCACAGGTCCTGAAGTTCAAAGATGTAAAGTGCTTCAGAGCTATAAAATTAAAACTTCACTTTGCAGTGACCAATATGTAAAGGAATCTGTAAAACTCCTACAAACGGCCCCAAGCATTACACAGTCCTCATCCTCATCCAGGTATTAAAGCCTGGCCCCAGCAGGCCTCCAGTGAAGCACAGGTTGCCCTCAGATTTTCACTTAATCACGTTTCTATATTTAGCTCATTTGTCTATTTAGAGAGGCGAAGAGGGTCCGTACCTCAGATNATGTTTTGGCTTCTATTGTGTCTTAACCTAGTCTCTGGCCACACCAGTTAGTAAATCCTACTGGTTTTCAAACTAAACACCATTAACCAAGATAGGATGCCTGTATTTTAGATCCAACTCCTCAGGCAAAAAGAATGCAGCAGCAGGCACAGAGTCAAGTTGGTGAGCAGGTGTGATCCACAGTCGCTGCCTTTATAACGGCAGGCATACACATGGTAAACCTATAATAATACAATATACAGTGTGAATGACTGAGGTATGGGGAGCTGGGGATATATGGAAGAACCATTTAGCTGTTTTATTTCTCTGGATAGTTCTTATCTGAATGCAACAGGGTCCCTCCACTTTATTTGTGTCAAAATGACTCAGATTTATAGAGTTCTCTGTCCCCCATAAATGTAGATTCAACTCATTTAAGTGTGATGAAGCGTTGAGCCACTAAATGGATTGAAAGAATGAAAAAGAAAGTAAAATTGTAAAAAAAAAAAAAAAAGAAAGTTCTAAAAACACTGAACACACTTCTCTTACTCTAAACAAAAACGTAAGAGAGTTTCATGCGGATCCTTTGCCTGAAACTCTTTCATTTGTGTTAGTATGAGGGAAGCTAAAAGTGACTGATTGTTTCAGTTACATTTAAAAACCAGCTTATATTTCATGCTGATAATCAGTGTGTCAGAGAGACAGAATGAAACTCCTCATCAGAGTTATTTGAGGGGAAACTGAGCCCCTTCAACCCCTTTTCCTGCCCCTCACTCTCAGTCAGAAAGGTCAACAGGTAACCCTCAACTGCCTGGAGCTTCGCCTCGCTCCCCTTCCTATGATCATCAAAAGCAGCAGCTGCTCTTTGAATTACCATTCATCTGCTGCTGCATTGTCCTGCAGTCAGCCGGGGAGGAGGAGACTGTCTGCACCGTCGAAAACAGTGAAACCTGAGGAAGACGAGGAGAACCCTGCAACCAAAACATGTCACCTGTGACAGAAGAGCTACAAAAGGCTGTGACTTTGGCGACATGGTGCGAGGGTCTAACCTCACTTGTTTACAGTTATTTCCAAGTTTTTAAGTGCAATGGCTTTTTTTTTTTATTGATGTCAGTTTTAATCTACCAGGACAGTCCTATTAAAATACTTTAATACAATTTGGGTAGAAAAAAATCTGAATAAAAAATATTTAAAAATAAAACCAAACAATAAAAATCCCCAACAGAATCAGGTTAAAAGCTTAATCGCTGCTTCACTTAAGATTCAGATGGAAGTGTTGTTGACTTGTTTCCTCTTTTGATGTCCGTGTGAGTACCTCCAAACCTGCACCAGTAAGAAAAAAAGCTCTAATTCTGGTAAAGGGTTTGCTGAAGTCTGGCCTATAAACTTCTAACTTGATCAGAATAAATTTCTGCATTATAGTTGGTACACATCTGATGTTTAGGTGTTTTAGGAGCTCAAAAGTTCTTATTTCTTCATAAATTAAAGAACATATGGTTTAATTTGGGCTGCTCAGTGATGCAGTGGGTAGCACATTCTTGCCTTGCAGCAAGAATGCTCTGGGTTCGATTCCCAGCCTGGGGTCTTTCTGCATGGAGTTTGCATGTTCTCTCCGAGCATGCGTGGTTTCTCGCTGGGTATTACAGCTTCCTCCCAGAGTTATAGAAATAAAAATACATTACTGTTAGGTTGATAGGTTCTCTAGATTCTCCTTAAGTGTGAGTGTGTGTGTGCTTTGTTGTTTGTCTCTGTGTTGCCCTGTGATGGACTGGCGACCTGTCCAGGGTGTACCCCACCTCTCGCCCGCAGACAGCTGGAGATAGGACCCCTCGCAAACACCGAAGGGATCAAGCGTGACAGAAAACGGATGGATGAGTTTAATTAATGAAAATGCATGCCACAGCAGCGCTGGTTTTGAACAGAGACTGATGGCTCTGAACTATCCATTTGCTGGGACTTCAGAGTGTAAACTTGGGGATCATTAACTGCAGCAGCCAGCAGGTCTAACAGACTCCCTGAGATAAGAATGCCTTAATCGGACGGTAATTCTTCGGGACAATACCTCAGCTCAACATGAGCCTAAATCCTTCAGCGAGCACATTTGCAGGCCGGCCGGCTGCTGCTGGCCAACTGCACAGGAAGTCTTTGTTAAAGCTGTCAGCAACAGAGGCGATGAGGAGAGTAAATCCTCCTAAACTGCTCCTGAAGATTACTGTTTGTTGGTGTGAATCCCGACACAATGGTTAACCTGACACAAAACCTGAAACCTTAAACTGTGTTTAAACAGAAACAGATCAAACTGATTGGGTTACATTCAGTTTACTTACAGTGTGATAGTTCACAGCACAAAAAATATCCAAATTATCTCTAATTAAAGGAAACTTATTAGATCAAATTAACTTCAATACATACAACTTCCACTGAAAACTGGAGAATGTAAAATAATTGAACCAACTTACTGACTTAAACAGGGTTTACATGGAGTCCGTCCATCTGAGCTTAAACAGGCAAATTCAAAATGACACATCGCAGTACATCGAACATTTATTAAACTCACTGAAGTTAATGAGGATTTTGAGAATTTAAGCATTGCAAAGCTCCCATTGCCTCAGTTTTAATTTTCAGACTAACTATATAGATCATCTTTTTGTTTAGATTCTGCTTTATGCACATTAATGAAATTTGATCAAATCATACAGGCAGACTGATTAAATTTTTCAATCTATCTGATTGCATTCAGAAATTGACTAAATAGTATGCTTTTTTAATAGAATAAGATGTCAATTTATTGCCAAGTGATATTATTTAGGAACTAGTCTTTCCATCCTCTTCACATTTTATACTTCACACCTTAGGTCACAAAGGCTTTCAGAAAATATAACACAAATAAACTAAACTGAAATATACCTTTATGAAAAGCTCAATAATTCATCAAAAATAATTAATCAAAATATGTTTTATCTGCTGATAAATATCAATTACATGGACATCTATAGGCCTAGAATGGAAAATTAGGTTATGATCCAAGAATTTCTGTCGGTTGTCAGAATATCCACAACATAAAAATTTTTAAATCTTATAATAAGAATGTTAATTAAAACTTCTAAAAGTTGTGATTAAAAGCTGTGAACTGGTAAAATAATCTAAACCTGATATAAAAATAGCAAGAAATATATGCAAAAAAATTAATTTTATATGAAAAAAAAACTTTTTTTTCCCCTGTCAATCTGCTCAATCCAGAGCTCCTCAAGTGGAACATTTTGTTTCACCTAATTTAGTTTCATAAAAAATCTTTAAGGAACCTTTGCCAATCCGAATATTTATTGATTAATCGAAAAAATAATCAACAGATTAATAGATTTGCAAAATAATCGTTAGCTCCAGCCCTACTTTTAATTGAAGAAATTAAACAGAAAACATGACGTTTGGATTTTATTACTGACCGGTGTCTGTTGAGTTTATGAGTAAATAACACAAAGTTTATTTCAATATACTGGAGCTCCTCCTGCTCTCGGCCTGAGCCCATTAGTTTTGTTAATGAACATCATCAGGTTAACAGTTTATCCAATTCTGCATCAAATCCATATCTAATATCTTCTTTATGATTTCACATACCCAAAACATGCATGAAAGGTAAATCTCTGACCCCAACTCCATATGTCCTTCACCTTCCCTTCTAGATCCACTGTTTTGAAAACACTGATCAAAGACATGAGGCAGAACCAGACAAGCTTAAAGGGATTTTCAGCATCTTGAGCTGATCCTAAATTATAGAAGAGATGGTTTTAAGCCTCTCCTTGTCTCCAAGTTTTGGGAAAGATACATTTTTACTTACATGATGGTAAAACTGCAGGGAAATGACAAAAGTGTGTTTTATAAAAAAAAGTCCAAGACCAAAGTAATCAGATTAACCTACGTGGAATCTAGCAAAACCAATAAAAATAGTGGAAGCATGATGTGGAACGGCAGGAGCTCTGGGTCTTGTGACAGGCTGCTTTCTGACTTTTACACGTTAGTCGAAGTAAATCAAGTTAGCCTCATGGTTCTGTTCCCACTTCTTAAATATGTTAATTCTTAAAGAAGGTCAAACACCATCAGTAGTTTGATTTTAGGCCAACATTTTTAAAGACAAAGAAAGTGTCTGTGGGGAACCTGCAGTTCAGGCCAAAGAGGAGACAGAACTGATCACTGATCTCTCTTTAATAAGAGGGTCACACTAACAAAACTATGGAAAAACAGCGACCTGAGGCACACAATGCTTAAATTAGCTACCAATGTTTCCAAATACTTTAAATTAGATCCTGAACAAATGACAGATATATCTTCTAACCTCTAGATGATCCCCTTAAAGTGTACTTATTTCACTTTGTTCTGTTCCAATGAGTTGTTCGAAAGCTGATGTGGTACTTTACTACAATGAATACTTCACTGTACTTAAACTCAGAAAATTCTGATCTGAATGTAATCCTTCAAAAAAGCATATGAGAAAGAGCAACATCCTTATTCAGTTGTAGATAAAGTGAAAAGAAAAAAAGCAAAAAAAAACTGCAGGGAGGTGGAAAAGATCCAATTAGACAGAAACAAATTCACTTTTCTTCTACTAATCATGAATCGTGAAAAGTCTTAATTATCAGCAGCAGTAGAGGATAAATGCTGTAAAATCCCTCAGATATAATCACTTATTAATCATATAAATACTACGTTGAGCCTCTAGAAGTAAAGATCTGATTGGGAAATAAATTGATTAAAAAAGTTCATAGATGTGTTGAGACCAGAACAGGTCAGATAGGTGCAATAAATATCAACAGCATCATTTTTTCCAAGTTTTAATCTCTGGAAAATTGAAAAAAAAAAATAGAAATATCCTGTCCAGGGGTGCCGTGCAACTGGTCTTTGCATTTGTTACTTCAAGGCTGGACCACTGTACTTCTTTACTAACAGGAAGTGCACAAACTGTAGTTAGCTGATCAAAAATACTGCAGCCAAAGTTCTGATAAAAATAAAAAGAAGATCATATCCTCTCCTATCTTAACTCCACTTCGTTGGCTTCCTGTTAAAACCAGAATAGAATTTAAAATCCTCCTTCTCCGCTATAGGTCTAAATAATCAAGCCCCATCTTATATCAGGGATCTGATCATTTTTTATGCTCCTAACAGAGCACTTCACTCTCAATCTGCAGGTTTATGAGTGGTTCCTAGAATTTCTAAAAGTAGAATGGGAGGCAGATCTTTTAGTTATCAGGCTCCTCTCCTGTGGAACCAACTACCATTTTTAGTCCATGAGGCAGACACCCTGTCTACTTTTAAGGGTAGGCTTAAAACTTTCCTTTTTGATAAAGCCTATAGTTATAGTGGCTCAGGTTATCCTGAGCTATCTCTATGCTGAGCTCTAAGCCCCATTTACACTACCCTTTTGAAACCGTGCCAAGAATGTCTCAACAATAACACAAATAACCATTGAGTGTAAATGGTACGCAGAACTGAACCGGACCACCGCAGACACAACCGAACCACAATAACATGGTACTAGTTCATCAGTAGGTCTCGGCACGGTTCAGTTCTGCCTCGGTTATTAGATAACAAAGAGCGCATGTGCAGACCGCATCATCTAGTCAGCCTCTATAATAATGAAACTTCAGACATTCATAAAAACTTCCTTCATGTGCCGCCATGTTGATTTGCTTGCTTACCTCTAGAGAGCAGTAGTACCGTAGATCATCACTAGGAGGCGAGGAACCACACTACCATGGTGTGTAAACGCTCTTAAGGAATAGAGCTCAGCACTGTTAACTGATCCAAGCTCGGCAAAGATCGGTTTTCAGAGGGTAGTGTGAAAGAGGTTACAGTTATGCTGCTATAGGCTTAGACTGCTGGAGGACATAGGGACCTCTTTTTATCATTCTGTTTCATTCTATCTTCTCCCTTTCTGCAGAATTTGTAACGTTCTTCTCATAACTTTCTGTTCTCTCTGCTTTTTCTCGTCATAGTAACTGAATCTGGTCTCTTCCTGTTTGGCTATGACATCATCCTGGAGGGAAATATCGACTGGGCTACTGTCATCAACATTTATAGATCACAGAGTTGGGCCTATGTTTAGTCCTGTTCCAGTCTTAGACACAGCTATGAACTCAGCTTTTACTTTGACTAAATATATGATCTCTCCTTCATCTCTTTTGACGTGAAAACAGGTTTCAGGTTTGTCTACAGTACGTGTGTACTAAGCGTTAGGATTCTGTCATTTTCCATTTCGTCAGAGGGCAACATGAGACAATATTCACAAAGATTTCAGAGAAAGTTATAAATATGTTTGTGTGTTTTTACCTGGCCGTAGTCTGTGGCAAAGACAACAACACCTCCAGAACAGGAAGACACAGTGCTTGGAAGGAACTGCTCATCCTCCCGTAACCACACTCGATCACCCTGAAAATAACAACAGCATTTTAAAACAAAGATAAACCAGTTTACAGTTTTGGTGTAAAATGACTGATCAATTCAGACCCAGAAATATTGAAAAAACAAAACAAAACAGTGATGAAGGTTTAAAATAACACATCACATGTAATGTCCCTGTGATTAGATTTCCCAAGGCTGGAGCCTTTGATAAGGCTGACCAGATTACATGTGGTTGCCATAGTATTACCAAGGCACCGACCTCCAACCAGATGGAGGGATTCTACATGAAGAATCGGACAGTGTTGGGTTTCTGTCTTCCCTGTACCTTCAATCACTCATACAGCTGTATTGAAGCCCCTCAGCAGAGCAGGAGCTAAAACAACTTCATACCTGCTGATCCCTCTACTTCCCTGCTACTAATGTAATAGACTTTTAGGCCAACATGTAATGTTTGTGTCACGTTAGTACTTAATTCCAAGAGTTTGAGAGGAAATGCTGAATGTAACTATTGGTTTGGACGATTTTGGTTGTTTCTTTTCTCATTTTAAATTCAGTTGTGTAAATAAAACAGCTTCTGACAGCTAAATGATTGATGCGTGTGCCTGTTTGGTTGTATTTTAGTGTAAACAGTAATTACAGCAGCACTCAGACATTTTTCAGTTAAAGCAACCAGAGTAAAATACCCTTTAGATGGACCTTTTCCCTAATGGCATGGCCACATGTGCTTCGGTTCCTCATCGTGAGCGGTTAATACTAATGGGAAAAACACTCGCTGTGCTTTGCTTAGACCTGTGCCCCCCCCTTCCTCCTCACTTTAAACCAGGAAAATGAAACAACCTTTGACCTAAAAGCCCCCAGTCACACTGGACAGCCAGGCAGCCGGGGGGCACCTGGCTGGGAGGAAAGTTAGCAGATGAATGCTCATAGCGTAAAATACACAGAGAGAGAGTAAAGCTCAGGTTTGCAGAGTCAGCAGCAGATCAGAGGGGCTTTGTCAGTTGTTCTAACCCCCCCCTCCGCTTCTGTTGAGGGAGGCGGCACGATTAAAAGGATCTCCTGGAGAGAAATAAATGTGATGCTCAAAGGAAACTCATAAAAGGACTGAACGCTTGATCCCGACTTTTATACAAGAAGTTAAAAAGGCAAATGGCAGGTCATTTATTTGGGTTTGTTTAGCAACTGCAACAGGTAACTGGATTTTTTCTTTCCTTTGATACATGAAGCAAAAAATGAATTGCCTCAAGGGAAAAGGTAAATACATCCTCTAATCTCTTACTGCATCTAAGAGGGAAAGTAGCAGCTAAAGCTGCTTTTAAAATCATCACCAGCACCTCAAGGTGCAGAGGCATTGGCTCTATACTGATCAGCAGCCAGTACTCCAACAGGGAAAGACGTCAGCAAGACAGGCTGAGCATATCAATTTAAAACCAAATTAGTTAGTCTGAAAACCAAAATCTTCCGTTGAAACATCACCTGTCAATTTACATTGAGATCAGAGCATAAATTGTTCTGAAAATCAAAAACCTCAAGAGCCCCAGTTAGCATTCCTAACAGGGTAGTTAGGAAAGCAATGATGGAAGAGCTGTGTGTTTATAGGGATTAAAGCAAATTCCCCTAATGGCAGCAAAGCATAGGTTTGCCAAGTTGCATATGAATAAACCCCAAGACTTCTGGAGCATAGTTTCTGGTATAGATGTTTGGCCATAATCATAAGAATCATGTTTAGAAGGAAGAAACAAGTATTTCAGAAAAGATAAGTTGAAGGTTGGTCTAGCGTTCAGAGCAGAAATTAGTCCTAGTCTACTCTGTTGCTATCTTTGGTATCAATATAATCACAGATGGCTGATAAAAATATGTTTAAGTTTACAGCATTACTGGAGCATCTTTTCTGTAGTTATCTGAACACAGTCGTCACAAAGACTTCATATGGAATAATGTCTGTAAAGGACAACAAAAAAAACCTCATTGTGTTGACAAAGGCTTATGGTTGTCTAATGACCCATAAAGGAACCAAACAAAGAAAGATGATCCATCGGGGAGGCCTGAACTGTTTACCAACTGAAACCATACGGACATTCCTGATGTGCACCGGCAAAGGAATCCGATGTGACCATAAGATCTAAAAGAAAAGGAGAGAGAAGGTCTTCCCTCCTCCCTTCATCAACACATGCTCATTCTGTTTGTGGACTCCATGAGCCGTCCACCCCCGTCTGATGCAGAGACGTGGAACATCGTCTCACTCTGCTCCCTCGACTAATCTACTCAGCCCTCTCTTCTGTTCCTCTGCACAGTTTAATCCACCAGGAGACTTTCAAAACATGGCTCTGGGCCAAATGTCTGCGCTTCACTTCCCCTCCCTCATTCATCACCACTGATTGCCTGGACTCTTACATCAAAGTTCTTGTTTGGAGTTAATGATGAACTGAACATGAAGAGAAGCCAAGTTGCACCTCCACGTTAATGGATAAAAATCCCCATTAAGGAGATCAGATCTAAACAAAAAAGAAAAAAAAAAAAAAGCTGCAAAGTGAGTGACTCCATCAATGGCGGTTGATCCATAGATGATCAACATTTCTTCTGACAAGTTAATTCAGGATAAACATTGAAGCCAAACAGTGATCCAATTAACCTTGAATTTCCATATTTGTTTTGTGATGATATGCATGCTCAAACATGGATCAAATAGGTTTTAACAGATTAAAGGGGAATTTTCATGCAAAAGATGCTTTAGTTGAAATTCAGGCCTGTGCTTTAAAGTAACACTGTAAGACTTGTATCCACTAGGGGAGCTAGTCCTGTAACATCTAGGTAAAGGGAACATGGAAAGCATCTGGCAAGAGAGAAATCTCCCTTTTTTTTTTAAATCTGAAAGCAGATATTACTTTGGACCAACAGACTGAGAAGCTATGCAGTTACTTGTGAAGACAAACCCACATTTACCGCTCTAGAATACATTCAACATCAGATAACCAAAATATATGTGATCGGATAAGTTTAATATCTGCTTTTATTGGGCGGACTTTAACAACAACAACTGTAAGCTTAGTTCGCTCTCTTGCTCAGCGGGAGCTCAGACTGCCTGAACGCAGCACGCTGGGTCACATGACTCAGTCAGTGATGGATCTGAGCCTTCCAAGTTATGTAGCTATATTAGCTGTATATTGAGCGAAAAATCATTTAATATACATGCTGAATTAAGCAAATACTTTGGTCAAACAATACATAGTGTAGCTAAATACACTTGATAAGATTTCATGAATTATTGTAGACTAACGAGTGCTTTAGAAAACTGAAGTATTTAAATAATGTTTATTTTGATACATAAAGTCTGGATTTCATTTTGAATTAGATCAGATTTCAGCTTTCAGTGCTTTAAAGTGCATCATACTGATTTAAAAAAGCAGAGTTGTGTCGGTGTCTTAGATTAAAAATTAGTGGGCAAATTGTTGCCTACGTCTAAATATTGCTAAATATTGTAGTTTTTTTGTTATTCTGTTTTCCAGATTATTTTCACTTTTTGTGTAAATATGAGCTGCAGACAGAAGAATCATGTATGTTTTTTTTTTTTTTTTTTACAAATGAAGCTAAGTTTAACTGTTAACGTGATTGTGACTGTAGTAATGGTGTTTATTTTACCAGTTACTGAAAGCAGATTTAATAACAATTTTATTATCACAAAAAATGTATTTTCTGTCACTTGGACACAGAGAACAACTGGTCTACATTTTGCCCTTTTAGCTGCAGTTCTGACTGCAGTTCAGCACAGAAAAAAGCAACTTAATGGTGTATAAAACCATTTAGTAATGATGCTGTTGACAGAAAACCAATATGAAATGTTGGCCAACAGACACCAGAACTGTAAAAATACTTTAAATAAGCCAACAGTAGACATTAGGGAGGAAAATGGAGCACTTCATGATGGATTCTGACAAATAGTCAATAAAACTTCCATTGCCACTCCCTTTTGCTCTTGCAGAGTAACAGCTGCAGCCTCAAGTCTTTTGCTCTTTTTAGACCTTACACTGTCATCCAGCTGTAGGTGACCTGATCCCATCTGATTTAATGTAAATAGGGGTGTGAAAGTGTTGAGAACCAAGATGCTTCAGAATACCTCCATGTTGTTGTTGACAGAATAACACTTTGTCAGTTTGGCTACGAGAGGGGCAGCTACATCCAATCTTATTATGCCGGGTTAGACCCTTTAGTAACGGTTGTCTCTAAAGTTGTCTACTGCAGGAAGTTGGATTTTGATGCCATATCAACAAAAATAAAGTTGGACAAAGAGGTCATGAAAAAATGGTTTGAAATGGCATTAAATGTAAAATGATAGCATGTATCAGCTTTTCTGAAGATAAAACAAACATACCGGAGGAGGGCTTTATCTGAGCTGTTGTCAACCCCAGCATAAGATGTCATTTAAACTCTAACCAGGCTGGGAGCTGTGGATCAAGGCCCAGCTGTTGCACCATTAAAGACCTCAGAGACTCTCCTTCCAGCTGAAACCGTCTAACACCAAGTCTGATACGCTGAACTAAGACAGGGGTGGTTGTGAAGTAAAGACCAGACTCATTCAGTAAGGTCATTGGATGTTGCCAGGCTGAAAAACCTCCCTCTGTTTAAACAGGATCCATAAAGAAGTTTTGTTTGCTTTATTTAAACAGTTCCCATGCAGTTGTACGGACCCACCCACAGTGTGCACCTCACTTCCACGTCTTTCCTAAACAACATGCTTCTATTATCCAGGGAGAGACTCCTTTCTGGCCCTAATCTCCACACTGACACCTCCTCCCTGCAGGAGCCAAAACACCAACATGAACCTGCCGCCCTGAAGGCAGAGGGAGTAGAACTGAAGCAGTGACCCATCGCCTGCGTGTGTTTTCCCCTCGTAACCCGGACATGTGTGGCTGATGCGTTCTCTGCAGGGTGCATGAGGGGGGGAGCTGGGAGACGGTGGATCTGTTGTGCTGGGAGCGTTCGTACGCCATCAGGGTAGGGAATGAGCAGCTGTCTTGTCTGAGCAATTCCAC